CATATACACACATATATATATATGTATGTATATATGTATATATATATATATACAGTATATATATATATAAATGCATATATATATATATATGTGTGTGTGTGTGTATGGATATATATTGTTTTGAAATTGCTCTGATAGCAATAAAGTTAAATTTACATTTTAACAGAGTTTTACCGCCAAAATGGCAGCCATCTTGGAATTTATTGTGATGACGTCATTATTCTGATTAAATTTTTAACTATTAGCCAAGTCCTTGTTACATTTGGTATACATAGCATATGTAAAAGTGACTAAAAACATACATTTATTTCCCTTATCCCCATCTTAATTAGCCCAAAATAGGATATTTTATGTCAAAATTTTAAAGCGCTATAAAAAAAATTGCCCAAGCTCTAAGAATGGGGATTTTTTTTCTGAGACACTTATATATGATATACTGATTCAGAAAAACCAAAAATTAATTTTCCTTTACTTTTTTCCCGCTAATTTCCTACTGCATCCAGGCTATTACTGTGTATAACGATAGCGAATGTTGTGCAGTGTCAAGGAGGGTTGTGCCATTTGTCAAGAATTATGTTAATACAGCATTGCACCACTGATGTGGCAATCTTATTTAGTTGTGAATTACGTCATATACCTATGATATGATATGATAGTTGCCACAAAAAACCTATTTGTGGCAACTAAATTACAATGTGTGATAACGTAGGGTATATCATATATAAACAAAACAATACCAGAGCTCATGTATAGATGCACTACCACTAACCATGGAGGTATAAAAATTTTATACCTCCATGCACTAACAAAGTTTTCTTTGTCGATGTTCAACTGAGTAGGATCGTCAGGGTTAATTTCATTTCATTCATTGATTTCATTTATTTATTCGACCAATGCACATAGGTACAATACAACAAATTTTGGTCAGGGGCAGATTAAGCAAAATTTTACTATATGGTTAAATTCGAGTCGAAGTAAGCAGTGGGTACTTGTTATTGTCGTGATGGAATAGACAATAACTGGATTCTCGTCAGGAGAAACATGTATAGGTGTGATTTTCCCCTATGACGTGGAAATGTACTGAATACTCAGTACGTTTAAAAACAATTTCGAAAAAAAATCGCAAATCGCAAGTTGATTATGCTTATGTATATCGAATAAACGGCACAAGATTGCAGACCGTCCGTTTTGAATAAACTCTAATAAACGCCGCCCCATTCAGAGCCTATGACCATGGAATAAACGCTCTCCTCACAGAGCGCCCCATGGCGAATTATTTTTCTTCAGATTTATTTAACTTCAGCACACCCCCCTCCCCCCACCCACCTAATATTGACTGTAAACAAACTAATGGTAAAGCAACATCATTCTCAGCATATTCTACTGTTCTACTCCTCCAATAGAATAACATGATGTTTTTCTTACCTGTTTGGGATCAATATAATCTATGATTACACAATAACACAGTTTGACAGATCTGTTATAATTCCACATTTACAGTAAAATTAAGGGGCATAAATTTCAGTATAAACGTATCTATTTTACACCAACAAGTATATGTCCACTCAAAACCCCTTCTCATCAATAATGCCCCAGTGGCGTTTATTCGAATAAATACTAAACTACTGCTAGGCCTATATATAAAATTTAGACCAAAAGATAATCAGAATCATCTCTTAAAATAAATAAGAAATTTTCAATCTTGAATTTTTGAATCCATTTTTTAAAATCCAATAAATAAACCAAGATAAACAAAACGAATGCCGGTGCTGATTCGCCATGAAGTAGATCGGTATGTGATAGATGTTACTGCACAGTGGAACGTCTATCTATTGAAACGATAGCTTTTGACATTGACCCATGACCACAAGTTGTATCAATTCAGCCGTTACGAAGCATGTTACTCACCAGGTTGCAGCAGGCTGGACATCGCAACTAACTAGCTCGAAACATGGCAGATCAAGATTTACCAGAAGGATGGGTGGCTCGCCAAAGTCGTAAACAAGAAGGTTGGTTAATAATTTCGAAGTGTATGCACTTTTTAAAGTTCTAGTTAAATAATGTTTGAATTTTACTCTTTTTTTAGGACTAGGCTGCTGCATAATGCTCCCGTCGTGCTAGGTTATTATTGTCAAAAATAGCTTCGCGGGCCGCCGCGCCTCCCTCTGCCTAGCCAGCCAGCAGTGTTGGCTTGACTAGGCTAAGCCTAGATGCATTGATAATTTAAAATGTTGGTGATGTGCAAATCTTTTTGTGAGGCATAACTACGTCTAGGGCTAGTCCAGGAAGGCTCAAGCAATAATTCTTTTATGTGCTCATTGAATAACTAGGTAGGCAAGAGAATGACTTTGCTTTGATTTATCACTATCCATACAACAACAAGACAAACAAAATGATACATATTTATTACAGGCAAGACATATTATCTGAACACATTAACAAATGCCAGTCAGTGGGAGAGGCCTACAGCTCCAGCTACAGAAACCATGAGATGCTCTCATCTGTTGGTGAAACATGCGGAGTCCAGAAGACCATCATCTTGGAAACAAGATACTATAACAAGATCAAAGGAAGAGGCACTGGAGATCTTGAAAGGTTCATTATTAAATTTTATACCTCAATGATTAGATTACATTGTTATTATTTATGTTTTGTATTTTTTTTGTAAGAATTTTTATTAATAGTTAATTGCAAAGCCTTTAATTTGTCATAATAAGAATTAGGTAGTTAGTACCTGTGCATGTTTTATATGAAATTAAATGGATCAAATAAATGAGAAAAGGAATTCAATACAAACACAATTTTCTAATTAATAATTTAATTAAATTATCACCTTACACCTTTTGGAAAAGTCATAGGAGAGAGACCAACACCAAAAAATCTCTATTAACTCATTTTTGTGCAAATTGTTTATAATTACATCAAATAAATTCTAAAATTCTGCATAAATTTTAAGTCAGAACATTTATGAATTATATTGTCCTTAATTCCAAAACTCTCAGATTTTTTTCTTAGGTTTTTTTTTTAAATAAAATTTGTCAAGAACATTAATTACTGTACTATCTCATGATATTGTGTATCTTTATTTGACTACTTAATTCATTTTTTGTCTAAATTATTTATTAAATTTATATATTGCAAACTAATGTTCTTAGTACTTAATACTGTCACACTATTCGTATTTACTCAGGACACAGACAACGTATCGTTAGTGGTGAAGTAGAATTCGGCACACTTGCAAGCACAGAAAGTGACTGTAGCTCAGCTCGTAAAGGTGGAGACCTCGGATGGTTTGGCCGTGGTCAGATGCAGCGTCCATTTGAAGAAGCTACCCTAGCACTCAAAGTTGGAGATATCAGTGAGCCTATATACACAGATTCTGGCATCCATATTATAATAAGAACAGGGTAATGAGTTTAGGAATTACCATTCCAAAAAGATCACGGCTGTGTTGGCAACTGTATACAATACTCCAGCTGTTAGCAGTAAGGTTAATGCCTAGGTTATTGGTGTATGTTTCCTGCAATGCTCAGACCTTTCAGTGTTTATTAACACGGCTTTTAGCTGCTTTCAGTGATCTATCAACCCTTTCTTTAGCCTCTCTCAATGTTTATGAACACTGACTCAGCTGCCGTCAGGCCCTCCGAGTATCAGTTCTACGCTTGGCCTTTTCAATGCTTATTAACGCTGTCATTAGCCCCTCCCAATACTGATCAACACTGCCCTCTTCTCATAATGCTTATTAACCCTGTGATTAGTTCCTGTCCCCTCTCAATGCTTAGCAAAACTTCCCTCAGCCACTCTCAATGCTTATCAACACTGCCCTCAGCCACTCTCAGCTCTTATCAGCACTGCCCTCAGCCACTCTCTGTGCTTACCAACACTGCCCTCAGTTCCTTCTGATGCTTATCAGAACAGTTGCATTATGTGTGTAACGTATACCACTATAGAATTTTAAAGGAAAGTAGCAACAAGACAAAAATGGACATGTTAAAAAAGCCAAAATAGTATTGATGATTTATATTTAAGATTGTTAGATTCTAGACTTTATGATATTATACTTAATGTAACCTAAATTCCTATGAAACTTTGTGTAATTAAACAAACCCTTGTGTGCAACTTTTGTAAGCATGTTTGCTGCATCAGCAAAGATCTTATAACAAGATAGCTTTCTCCGTGTTATGCTTGTAACAAATAGAAGCGTTCAATTCACGCAGAAAACAATAGAAAGTAATTGTAATTGAAAGAGGGCGTGCTAGTTGTTACTATGGCAGTTGATCCAGAATTTTCACTGAGATCTTAGATGTCAAAGTTCAAAAGTAATTATAATTGCAAGAGGGCGTCCTACACTGCATTATTACAGAATTTGCATGCAGAAATCCCGGAGAACGCTACCTTGTTATTATAAGATCTTTGTGCATCATTAAGAGCACCATTCCAAGTGATTTGTTTTTTAAAAAATAAACATGTGAAGTATCAATATTCTTTTAGTATATTTATTTATTTTGTCGTTGCAGTAAAAATTGAATTGGAAAAATTGCTAAGATCATTGATCACAGAGAAATTATGTGTGTACCAAAGATAGAAATGCATCCATTTACAGTTTTTCAAAACCAATTTACAGAGGCTAAGGTGGCTGGATTTGCAGTGTGAACACAAAGAAATCCCAAATTTGGTCTTAATGCTCCTCTAGAGATGGTTACGGACCGGCACAGTGACCACCAACAATGATTGCACTTTATAACTCTGATTGTAAGCGTGTTCACAAATCCTAATCCATAAGTGTAAATCAGGCTTTGGTCTTGACTCGCTTGCTGATTAAGTGATCAAGTGCAAGAGGGGCAAAATGCCAGCTGCACTGCAGCTAAAGCATCCCTGGGCTCATGGAAAAATAAGGGTTTAAAATATCAGTTAAAACACATTTTTGTAGCTGATTGCTATATGCCAGCTGATGAAGATTCACATCATTTGTGCTACATTATATGTTTATGATTTGTTTATTATCTGTTCGTTTGGTTTTTTCTTTTTTTAATTTATGATACAAATTATAACATTCCTTGTTGCTAGAATCATTGTGGTTTCTATATTTTTTCCTCATAATTACTGTACAAGGAAAGAGCATTCAGTCAATGCCGTCGCCAGGATTTTCAAACAGTGCAGGACAATATCAGGGTTGACCCACTTTACGCGAAAATTAAAACAATGTGGACCCATTTTACATAAAAATATGAAAAATCTGGACCATTTTCTTAAATTTTACCCATTTTAAGCTAGATATGAGAAATGTGGACCCATTAAAAAAACTGGGACTCTCCCAATAGTTGGCTACAACATTGCATACAGTACAGTATTTACTTTACACCACTGCAAAGACACTGATAACCTTCTAATACAGTAAAAAGTAATACAACTATTAAATCCTTTCAAGATACTTTATTGCAAGGTTATATAAATGACTGAAAAGCATATGGTCACATGACAACCATTTTTGTACAACTGACTGACAGGTGCTATGGACAATTTGACTCATTCATTATTATTGTAATGAATACTTAACATCATTCACCCTACAACCTTGGCACTCTCCTACCAGTCTGGAGAACATACAAAACAAATGACAATACTGTACACACTCTCTAGACCATCATATTATAAATAGAATGTATTTACATGTATTACAACAGAACTACATCACAATGGCGGCGCCAGTGGAGAAACAGGTGGAACAGGACACCATTGGGAAACCCTGTCGAGCAACCATGAACATTCTTCAGGGAACACTGCTTTGAAAAATCATGTTTAATATAGTGTGCCATTTCAGGCATTCATAAAATTAGCTACAGCCATGTTGTGGCTGAGGTTGGTGTGGACCCTCCGTCGGGGACCTCTGGCGCCACCACTGCTACATCATAGACCTAAGGGGGCCCTGGATAAACATGTTTTACTCCTACACAAGTGATTATCAGGATATTTTAAAAATGGGGTAGAACCTCAAATAGGTCCACAATGTTACTGGTACTTTTACCTATAAAAATCACAAAATCCCCCTTTATTAATAATAAACTTTTGTTGCAGCAGGCTTTTGTATTTTACTGCTTCTATGAAAAATTTGAATGTACAGCATATGGAAAAGTCATTAGCACTGCTGCTTTTCTACTGTTCAAACTAATTTTAAAAAAATGTTATGCCAATTGTTGTAAAACAGAAGTGCTAATAATGCATTATTATATATTGTTCATAATTATTATATAATAAACATTGTAGGAAACTGCATGTTTTCCAGGTACAGAAGTCCTTAAAATTAAAATAACATTTTAAACGACTTCTTAAAACATTACATTAGAAATAACTGAAATGACGAGATAAAATAATAATTCCCATCATAATAACAATATAATAAATAAAAAACAAATTACTTATAAAACAACAAATAAATACTGGCAGTTAACTGGCTAGTTTCAACATTGCTAAAAAAACAAAAATGCATGTCATTAATTAATTTTTACCTGCTCTTTTTTCATCATTGAAATAATAATGAACCCTTTAACATTTTGTAAACAGCTCAGCCAGCATCCACTGGAAGTTCAGAAGCACATATTTCTTAAATAATTGGTTTTAACTTCTTAATAAAGCATCATACTAATATTGAGTATAGTATTGGCATATGTTCTGTTTTCTAGTTTCCAATAATTATCATTCAATATAAAAAAAAAAAAATTCAAAATAAAATACAAAATTACTAATGCTAAAATTACAATAAAGGAATGGCAAGCTAATGAAATAAATTTTTTGCTAACATGATATGGAACTAAGTGATGTCACAATAATAAGTGGTAGATTTATAATGCGTATATTATCATGACTTCTTATCTCAATATTACCCCGGGTGAAATGCCCATGTAACATGCTAAAAATATTGCGGCAGAATCATCGCATTGGTGTTTGAACTATGGAGGAATTAATTTAGTTCCTCCATGTTTGAACTTACCAACCACGCAATTATAAACCTGGGTGAGGCAACGATAGTTCACATGCCTCACCCAAAGACAAGTGAAATCCACAGGCAAGACTTGAACCCCCGAGATCAAGGTTGATAGCCTGAAATCTCAACCGCTTCATTAACCGCTACTCCACATACACTGAGCACATTCTTATTAATTAGCACTGCACTGTCTATAAATTCAATGCTACTTTTAACTAACCAGATCACTTTTTAACATAATAATAACCTAAAAATGTTCTTTACAAAACACCACAATGAATTTTTGCCTACAAAACAGTATAACCACATAACCTAGCAAAAACCAGGATTTTCAGTCATTACATACCAACTGGATACAAAAAAACCCCATAAAAACAGCTCATTGTTTTGATTATGAAGAACAAAATATCTCCATTGACCTCTTCAATCTTTACCATCTTTAATGCTTCTGCTTTATTCCTTTCATAAACAAAGCCTTTAGATATAATACTAAACATGGTATTAAAACTGCCTCAGTACCTATTGCTATTAGATGCTGATTCTCAAAACAATTCAACTGTTCAGTTAATTCACTAATAATATGTAACTAGTAACTCCTCTATTTCTACCTGAATTTAGTTTGTATTTGTGTTAACTAATTATTATATGTCATGTCGAGGACTATTGGAGATTATGCTAACAAATAACTACTAATTATATATCAGTAATTACATATTAATATTAGCACTATAATAAAATAATTCATACTACACTCAAAAAGGGATTTGAGTTTCAAATTTAATGTTTTTCTTTGAAAAAAAAAATTATATTTATCTTATCAAATTCTAAAATATTACTAAAGAGCTTTTCTCTCTAAATATATGCAAACAGAAAAGATCTCAGTAATCTAACACATGGTGGACTACAAACTTTGATGTACTGTACATACATTTGTACAACTCAAATGCGGCTTTCGTTTCTTTCTTGTGGGTAAATCAATGTAGATTAATAGTGGATATCGAGAGTGAATAAAAAACATTGTGAAATAAGCTAGTGATTTACAGTCAAGGAATGCATGGTTTGAGCCAGGTAGAGCCAAAACAAACTGCACATTGTTTTTTTTTTTCTTTTTTGACTGTCGGTTTTGTTGAAGAAGTTATCTTGTTCATTTTTTGTGGCCTCCAGATGTACGTGGGAAAGTGTAGCGGTTACGTGATGCTGCTTGGTACTGGTACTCGTACGCAAGTGGGTGAATTTTAAAACCATATAGCCTGAAAAATACAAAATTTAAAAGATTAATTTGATTGAGATATGATATAGCATATTATTTTTATTATTATTTTGTATGTATGTTTTGTAATTACTTGCATTATACATTTCATGGTTTTTTTAATGTGTAAAGTGCAAAAATGTGTTGTAAAAACAAGTTTACAGATATAAGGAAATGCAAAAATAATAATAAAGATCTATGTTTACTTATTTGTATATTTTATTCATATGAATCAAGGTTTTATAACTCCATTATTATCAAAGGATTACATTTATATTTTATTACTGTATTATATTTTTTCCCCTTTCACCGTGCTTTGACACATGTTAATGTATAATTTACTTGCTAGCTTCTTTTAAAGATGATTTCTTCAGTTCAAATATGCAACGTTTCACCAAATTTAAGAAAATAAAATTATGCTTGTTTAATAGCATAATTATTTTTTGGTGCTAAAACACCTAAAATACCAGCATGAAGATTGGTACCAAAATATAATAAAGTATTTACATATTTAATATGTACACATAAACATATATTATTTACTTTTGTAAGTCAATTGTGATGTCATCACTGCAACTCCCAGTGATATTTGCCTATCCCCAAAAGTGCACTATGCTTTCCTACATTGCACACTTGGTTTGATCTTGTTTAGGTTAGTGAGCAAAAGACCAATTTAACTTGTACATATCGCGCACTGGGATGAATTCTAGGCTTGTGTTTTTACACCAGGACTACAACACACGCCTGCGGATATAATCAATATAAAACAAATATGCAAAATACCTTGGAACAAACTGGTTAGCTGGCCTTTTAGGACGATATTCGGGGTGGACCATAAACAGCATGTGAGGGAAGCCTGTGCCAAAGTAGGCGCCATCTGTGTGGTGGTGACGAGAAGATTTTGGAGTGTAGACATCTTGACATTTTGGGCAGTAAAGTTTAACCATAGCTTCTCCTGGAACATCTGATAAGCCTATAAATGTAATAAAAATAATAACAGCAATTATTATTATTTGTATTTTCTCGGTTGGCCTATATTATTTCTGTGTAAAGTGTATAGGGGCAATGTGCAATATGTGCTATATAAATATAAAATTATTATTATTATTATTAATAACAACAATAATACTAGCAATAAATTGCAACTACTACATAATTTGTTTTCCAGTTTTATATATATTTTTATTGTTTATTTTTATAGTGCCTTTCTATGCAGATACGAGGTGCTTCTTTTCAGGATACTGGGTCCACGTGCTTAATTGTAATTGCTGTAATCAGCGCAGGAGCAGGCAACCCCACCAGGCAACCATTCATACTCCTGGTGGAGATGAGCTATGCTAATAAAGTGCCTTGCTCAAGGACACGAGCAAAATGCACACAAGAAACCAAACTGTTACCATCGTGCCAATCCACTAATCGGCATTCATCTTTTACAGCTAGAGTCTCTTTATCTATATGTAAGGAGTGGTTTGGTTCAATCTCATCCTGTGCATTTTGCTTGTGTCATTAGGCAAGGCACTTTACCTACAGTTGTCTCTCACCACCCAGGTGTACACGTTGGTAACTGGTAGGTCCAAACACAAAAATGCACTGATTACAGCTGCAACATTGTGGAATTTCCCCAAGGTCCTGAGTATGTGTTGCATATGTGCTTGATTCAATGACCGGGGGTAATAATGTTAAATGCATAGAGGTCTCAATATGAGCTCTATAAGTCAACCATTATTATTATGTAAAGAATGAAAAACCTTCCTCCATTGAGTATAACCCTTACCTATTGGTAATACAGGTGGATTTTCACAATATACTCTTGGACAATGACCGAAATCACCTTGTTGATACTTTTCAAGCTGGAATATTAATAAAAAGAGAAAAAAATTGTTTAAAGAGAAGAGGTAAATTGAAAAAATACAGTGTAAAAAGATAATTACATCCAAAACCACTAAAAGGACCAAGGTCTCTTGTTGCAGAATTTCTAAAGACGGAATGCCACCAACCTTCTAGCAGGAGATGGTACCTGAACTAACTTATTACAACCATTGTTTAATAGTGTCTCATGAGTTAAGGACTATTCAATCGAAAAAATATTTGTGCGATTTACCAGTTAATTCACCGGTACATACTTATTAAAACTGCTTTGGCACTCACCTAATTACCTTATCATCTGGTTTATCTACAACCATTTTGACCACCAAATTGCTGGGTAAAATACCGTGTATAGGATAACCTTGGAGCCGGAGGCAACAATAAATAGACCTGAATTGTTTTCCAAATGTTTTGTCACAATTTAGTGCGCAAAATTCAGTAGGGTTACGGCCCAACCCTGGCAGCAGCTAGCACTGCAGCTAGTACCGCTGTTGCCGCGCTCTCCTTTGCATCCTCATGTACATGGTGAAATAAAAGTTGTATAGGACGGTAAATTTATCAGCATAACATAACATCTTTGTAGCCATAATGGTGACTAGAAGCATTAGGTACGCGTTCGATTTGTAGATGCACCACTGAATTCAATGAAATTTGAATACAACTCGCCTACATACAGATTTTAAGGAACATTATAAATTGAGCTCGGATCTTGTACGTGGGTACAAAAGCAGTAGGAAGGTAAACAAAGAATACGTTGATTGGATAAGTGTTCCTCATTTGCATTTGATGCCATTAGAAATTTACTTCCAGTGTAGTTTTGTTACACGGTATTTGACGCGAGTTAAAATTTACTTGAACAGTCGACCATTCACTGAGTGCTCAGCGCAATTAACCGGTGAATTAAACAGAATACGATTGGCATTTATCGCTCGAGCAGGCCCTTAGAAGGGTGTAGAGTTGGCAGTGAAGGATCAAATTCATTTTAAGTCCCCATATATGGGCATGATGATATCATATTACACCCATATATGGACATATCACATGTTTTATGTCACATAAAATTTGATAGCTTGGAATGAGCTTTAAGCACAGCTAAGCTAAAAAATCATGTTCATATTGAAAACAGCGTTAAGAAAATAATTATGTTTGAGAGAGTCCCTATTCAATTACAAAAATACCATAAGAGTAGACTTACCATTAATGCAATACCCCTATTTGTCATAATGAATCTAGAGTGTATGAGTCCATATAACATCTCTGCTGCCTGTTCTATCAAGTCACTCTGATTTGGGTTCTCTTCAAGTTCATCATCTAAAGTCAAAAACAAAATTTCAAATAATAGCGTCAAAGAGGGAGCAAGACAGGACAAGGTCACTGGGGCCGGGCACCATAGAGGCTTTAGCACAGGTAAAAAGATAACTGTATACAAATTTATACAGTTATTATTAAAGTTTATTATTTATTATGCAGCATTGTAGTAGAGGTGTAGAATTGGCAGTGAAGTTGAGTTGTAAATTTGGCAGTGACATGGAGCTGAAGTTTTGGTGCAATAGAATGGTGCATCTCCACTTTTTAAGCAAATATAACCGTTGGTGGAAGTGAAAGAAACAAAAGAGTCAATGATGAAAAAACATAGAGTAACTATGCCATACACAACATACCTGGCTCTAGGTCCAATATCATATCTAATGCTTGTCTGTAATGTGGAACTTGTTCATTGAGACCAGTGAGATTAAATTTATCTTGTATGTAGTCTTCATCAACCTAAAAATGAAAATGTAGTGATTCTTAGCATTTATATCAATGCACAACCAGACTTGGACTATCAGTGTCATCATCTGGCCTTTACCCATCAACTGTATGGTAGCTGCATTTTGTATTCCTGCTATGGCTGGGGTAAAGCGGGCATGGGTGGTTATCTGTCAAAAATGGTCATTGGCTATAATCCTTACAACTGGTACCTGCTAGTGTAAGGAATGAAGCACTGTTCAGTTCCGCTATATTGCAACATATATGAAACTCTTGATTTCAAAATTGTTTATCTACACTTAATATACTGTACACAATTGTTAAAGATTCAGAAAAGATTTATATTTCAATTACAAATTATAATACATTTTTTGTGGCTAGTAATCAATTTAAGGAGTGGCAAAAACTGAATTGTTTTCTGTATGAAATTTTGATAGTTGATAACTTGCACCAAATGAGCAATTTTAATGTTTTTGATTGAATTCTTGTGTAGGCCAGATTCCTTTTAAAGAACAGTTATTATGTAGTTGAATTTGAGTAAAAAATAATTGGAAATCCATCATGTACATTGTAAATGTATGTTTTAAAAAAAATGTTAACTTACTTCACAAAAAAATTCATTTCCTCTCAGCCCACAGAACCATGAGATCCAGGACACCTCTTCCGAGCTGCTCATTTTCTGTAACAAACCAAAGAACAGGTATTATAATTACCAGGGGTGGATGAAGGATTTTTCATTCACATAGTCAAGCATTAACAGAGGGTGCACTGGAGATGGATTCGTCGGCCACCCTTGCTTCAAATTAATGTATTCCCTGATGCTAAAATATTAGGATTGGGAACATTTTTCTGACACGCTCTAGCAATAAGATATCTTTAAGGTTAGGGTTTGTGCTAATGCATTTTAGTACTCCACCCTAACCTAATAACATAGCAAGACTGGAGTTGAGGTTAAGGTTAGGGTAGGGTGGAGTACTAAAGTGCATTAGCACCCAAAACAGGCGCTAATACATTTCATACGTTTCACATCCAGTCCTAAAATCGTTTACTAAATTATTTAACACTTACAATTATTCAATACTAATACATTCCTTGATGATTTTACTTTCCTATAATCCACTTATTATCAAACAATTATGGTTTCTAATTAAGTTAATTAGCCATTAATTAGGACAGTTAACGTCTTCATGGTGCACCATCTTACACTCCCGGTTTATATCAAACAACTTTGCGGTGTTGCCAGAATATGGGCAATAATTGGTCACAAAAATTACAATTGGGCACAAATTATATGACAGACCCTGGAAACCTGCAGTCGTCGAATGTAACTGTGTGTGTGGTACGGCGGAGCGGAGTTGGTTGTGTTGAGCGATCGGGTGTTACTATCGATATACCGTATTAATTATTGGTTAATTAACTTAATTGTGGCTTAGGCCTATATGAAAGTCAAATCATCAAAGAACATGTTAGTGTTGAATAATTGTAAGTTTTAAATAACTTGGTAACCGTTTCAGGGCCGGATGCGAAACCGTATTAGTGCTAAATATTAATATTATTAGCCTCTATATATAGGCCCTAGGCCTAGGCCTACATAAAGTTGAGCTACTGCTGTAAATACTTAATAGTGTGGCTATCTGGTTTGGTGGTGGCGGTAACACACACACCACAGGCCAACATCACCAGCAGTACAGTAGGGCCGCTATTCTAAGCTACGCTACATTCGGCTTCAGCTACCTAGCCTACTTCTTAATAAGCTCATACAAGCAATCAAATTGAACTAGCCCTAAGACCTAGGCTAGCCTCATTTAGGCTATGTCGGCACCGGCCAGCCTCTGATGATGAAGGGAGAAAGAATTTCTCGCCGTCAGAAAACTCAAGACAATCCCTGTTCCCGCGAAACACCTGACCAGCGAGTTCAATGTTAAGGTAAAAACACTTACGTTTCGTTTGTTTTATAAATATTACAACTATGCTAATTCAAACAATATCACCCTTCAAAAACTGTTCCAAAACACATCAGTCAATTAATTTTATGGCACAAATTGACTGTTTTTATAAGGAAATTTTCGCCAAATTCTAGGTTATACGGGCTCACCTTCCTTGGTGGAATACCGCCCTCAAGAAGGTTGCCAGGCCCAAATAGTCGAAGTTGTACAAATTCACATGCATTTATTGCAAAGTGATAAACCAAGTCAAGGGGTTAGCAGAGGGTCCACAAAAAATGTTGGGGTCTGCGAAAAATGTTTGTGTCCAATAGATTTTTAGACCAATTTTCATTATTTTTCTTGTCCTTCAACAGTATGATAAACATCTTTTGCTAATCATTGTACGTACTGCCTTCATATAATATTGGCCCTATTTTGTGTTGATGTAAGATGTTTTTTATAGGAGAGACACTTGATAGTGCTTGCACTTTTGGCAAACCTCAAGTATGAATCTGATTTTTAGGCCCTACCTATGTTTTGTCTTTTATTGCTTTTACCTGTTTATTCAATAAATAAAAAAAGGGGACCTAAATTTTACAAAATTCAAAATAAATGGGGGACAAAAATTCTGAATACCATTTCCGACCATCTAGAAGTGCCATAATGTCATAAATTCTGTTTTCCACTTGCGAATTAGTATTCTTTGATCTTGTGAGTCAACCGAACTGACGATTCGCGCGAATAAATTCGCCTAGTGGAAAACAGGCTTAAATTGATATCGATCGACCCATCCGTAAAATTGACTTTCTACCCTGCACCCGTCCCTCTATTTCAAATTCCAAGACACGACACTGTTCGTTGTGTGGGGGACGAATTATCTTCTATTTATGAACTTGTTGGTGGAATATCAACAATGAGTCGCCCTATACTTAAAAAATTAAAAACAAATGGGGGATAAAAGAAAATTACATTCAAATTTTGAATCTGACAGGGCCATTTCCGGCCTGGCCATCCATAGGAGTGCCATACACAAAACAATTCGTAACTCAGCCAGTGGCGGCTCTAGGATATTTTCTGGTGG